CGGGTTTCGTCGAGTCGACCGAGGCGCGTCACCACCGGCAACGTCGACGAGACGGATCTCTCAACTCTGTAACGCCTCATCCACTGGACGCTGGACGTCCACCTCTTCCTCCAACAGTTGCCCATTGAAAGCATGTGTGTGTGTGTGTGTGTGTGTGAGAAAATAAAAGCCTAATTTTTCTGAATTCTCGTAACCGCAATAGCTGAACGTTGAGTCGTCCGTCTGTCAGATTTTTTTTGAATTTCCTTCCCCCCATTTTATCTTCACTTCTTCGTCCTGTTGGGAAGATAATTTGGTTTCTTCGAGTTGATCTGAGTGTTTTTGTTCGCCTCCTCAAGTTTATCCGTTTCTTTCGTGCAGAGTGTTACAAAATTCGTGTGCCAACAATCGCCAGTTTAAGTATGCCGGTTGGTACTAACGAGTGAATGTCACGAATATAAAAAAAATGTAACCACTGGACTTGGGGACATGTACGAGCAATGCTTATGCTATGAGAGTTACTTGCGTGAAGTGGGAATAAAACGGACGATTGTGCGTAGATATGGAGGGATTTTGGCATCAATTTTTCCCCTGGAATTTTGGTAATCGTGAGTTGAAAGATTATTCGATTTGTTATTGAGTCATTGAGGCGTGAAAAATTGTTAATTGATGGATATTGTTTCAACGGTTCTTCGACAGCTGATGGTCGTCGAGTGTTGTCTGTGATAATTCGAGGATTTAGTCTCGAATTGTTGTTGTGAGTTGGTGATTACGGGATTGACGAGTTTTCTGGGTTTTCCCAGAGCCATCGGAGTTCGGGAATACGTCGTGGGAGATACTGGTGTTAATGCTGGTCCGGTTTATTCATTTTATTAGCTTGATTATGCGTCGCTCAGGCCGGGTGCGACGCACTGGTCAAGCGCTGATTATGTGTGTATACGCGAGTATCGTACATTTTCATTCCTCTCTTTTTTTTTCGAGGCCTAGTAAATACCTAGCGAGGCTTCGGGCCTGCACTCGGTTAGCGTGCGATAACAACTGTTGACTCGTCGGACGCGTTTTATAAGTTTGCACGTGTCAAAAACACAATATTACATGGGACGATTTCGTGGGCTGTTGATTTTTACTTTTGAGTGATTGCCGGGGTTTTATCAGTGTTCAATTGGTTATGGGTCTGGGCGCCTTTTTCGGTGAATTACTGCATGGGCTGAGGGTTGGGGGTTTTATGAGGGAATTATATAGTTTTAATAGGGAATTTCGGATTTTTTTTGTTGCATCACGAGATGGAAGGAGAGAGGATTTGTAGGGGAGGGTAGGGCAAAGTAGTCACTTTAGACTTTTTTAAAGTCATTCATAACTCAGAAACAAATGTATCAATATTGCTCAGTTTAGGCTCATCATAAAGGGAAAGAATTGCTCTTTGTATTGAACAAAAATTATTGAATTTCATCAGCATTTCAACCCGTCACTAATATTTTTAAAAAAGTCAAAAGTGTCCATTTTACCCCAATCTCTCCTAGATAAAGAAAAAACAGTAGTGGAAATTAATCATGAATTTTAGCAAGCGTGGAGCGATTTTCAGGAATTTTCAACGGAATTATTTTTAAAAACGGAGTGAATTCAGTCAATATTGGAATGGTTTAAATAGAAATTTAACAAGTTTGGAGGTGTCAAAAAAATAATATTACATGGAACGATTTCGTGGACTGTTAATTTTTACTTTTGAGTGATTGCCGGGGTTTTATCAGTGTTCAATTGGTTATGGGTCTGGGCGCCTTTTTCGGTGAATTACTGCATGGGCTGAGGGTTGGGGGTTTTATGAGGGAATTATATAGTTTTAATAGGGAATTACGGATTTTTTTTGTTGCATCACGAGATGGAAGGAGAGAGGATTTGTAGGGGAGGGTAGGGCAAAGTAGTCACTTTAGACTTTTTTTAAATTATTCATAACTCAGAAACAAATGTATCAATATTGCTCAGTTTAGGCTCATCACAAAGGAAAGAATTGTTCTTTGTATTGAACAAAAATTATTGAATTTCATCAGCATTTCAACCCGTCACTAATATTTTTAAAAAAGTCAAAAGTGTCCATTTTACCCCAATCTCTCCTAGATAAAGAAAAAACAGTAGTGGAAATTAATCATGAATTTTAGCAAGCGTGGAGCGATTTTCAGGAATTTTCAACGGAATTATTTTTAAAAACGGAGTGAATTCAGTCAATATTGGAATGGTTTAAATAGAAATTTAACAAGTTTGGAGGTGTCAAAAAAATAATATTACATGGAACGATTTCGTGGACTGTTAATTTTTACTTTTGAGTGATTGCCGGGGTTTTATCAGTGTTCAATTGGTTATGGGTCTGGGCGCCTTTTTCGGTGAATTACTGCATGGGCTGAGGGTTGGGGGTTTTATGAGGGAATTATATAGTTTTAATAGGGAATTACGGATTTTTTTTGTTGCATCACGAGATGGAAGGAGAGAGGATTTGTAGGGGAGGGTAGGGCAAAGTAGTCACTTTAGACTTTTTTTAAATTATTCATAACTCAGAAACAAATGTATCAATATTGCTCAGTTTAGGCTCATCATAAAGGGAAAGAATTGCTCTTTGTATTGAACAAAAATTATTGAATTTCATCAGCATTTCAACCCGTCACTAATATTTTTAAAAAAGTCAAAAGTGTCCATTTTACCCCAATCTCTCCTAGATAAAGAAAAAACAGTAGTGGAAATTAATCATGAATTTTAGCAAGCGTGGAGCGATTTTCAGGAATTTTCAACGGAATTATTTTTAAAAACGGAGTGAATTCAGTCAATATTGGAATGGTTTAAATAGAAATTTAACAAGTTTGGAGGTGTCAAAAAAATAATATTACATGGAACGATTTCGTGGACTGTTAATTTTTACTTTTGAGTGATTGCCGGGGTTTTATCAGTGTTCAATTGGTTATGGGTCTGGGCGCCTTTTTCGGTGAATTACTGCATGGGCTGAGGGTTGGGGGTTTTATGAGGGAATTATATAGTTTTAATAGGGAATTACGGATTTTTTTTGTTGCATCACGAGATGGAAGGAGAGAGGATTTGTAGGGGAGGGTAGGGCAAAGTAGTCACTTTAGACTTTTTTTAAATTATTCATAACTCAGAAACAAATGTATCAATATTGCTCAGTTTAGGCTCATCACAAAGGAAAGAATTGTTCTTTGTATTGAACAAAAATTATTGAATTTCATCAGCATTTCAACCCGTCACTAATATTTTTAAAAAAGTCAAAAGTGTCCATTTTACCCCAATCTCTCCTAGATAAAGAAAAAACAGTAGTGGAAATTAATCATGAATTTTAGCAAGCGTGGAGCGATTTTCAGGAATTTTCAACGGAATTATTTTTAAAAACGGAGTGAATTCAGTCAATATTGGAATAGTTTAAATAGAAATTTTACAATTTTGCATGCAATATTTTTTCAACTACTAAATCTACTTTTGCGACAAAAAATTTTCATTCCGGCGCACTCTCTGCATGTTTGGGACAAAAAAATCCTTTTTTGATAATTTTCGAAAAAATATTTTCTTGGCACATGTAAGATTTGTTTGAGAACTTTGTCGTTTTTCTCGCACTGGAGATCTATTGCATTTCAATTGGGGAAAATTTCTGACTGATTTTTCTCTTCACTTATTCACTTGGTCACTCCTTATCTAAAACTTCTAATTAACAATTCATCTTTTGTTTTTTTAATAAAAAAAAATTATCTACGTTTCAGTAACAAATGCAGTTCTCCACTTATCGTTAATTATGCTTTCATTATCGATTAATCGTGGATGTGCATTCAAGCCTTCTCTCTGTGGCTCCGCAAAGGCTTTCAAAGTTTACCGTCATTACCTTTTTTTATCATCTTCTAAATTAAATTTCCTCTGAGTAAAGTTTTTAATATCACTTTCAGGTTTTTTTCTTGTATTATTATTTTTTTTTGTGAGGATTTATTATGTAGCTAATGGATGTTCCCTTTGACACCGGGAATTATTGATTATTATTGCATACTGCACAAATGGTTTTGCGGCTCGTCTGCATTGAACTGTGGGTTTTTGTATAAAAACGAGAGAAAAATTATGTCTCAATTTTATTAGCGTGCAGCAATTTTTCCCAGAATTCCAGTAGAAAATGTAGGAATTTGCGAAATTTCACTTCACATACTGATTTTTTTACTATATCTTTTAAAAATTACCAGATTTATTCTGAAGAAAATCGTTTAAATTGAAGAAAATTATTGAGAATTAATTTAATTTGGCAAATTTAAAAATTTTGAAATTTTTAATTGCATTTTTCATTAGAATTTTAATTGGAAAAATTTCTAAACTCTTCACTGAATTCCGTGCGTAATTTCAATCAGATTTTCTCCCCATGCGGTCATATCTAGAAACAAAACTCATTAAACAATGATAAAAACTCAGAATTACTGACAAAAATAGCAATGAATGCATTGCAAAAATAAAAAAAATAAAAGTTTTGTATCAGGAAAATCTGTTGAAAATTACTCGAATTAAAATGCGATAACTCTAGTAAAAATTAAAACAAAATCGCAGAAGTTGCTCCTCTAAATTTTGAAATTGTTACCGAATTAATAGTACTTTTTTATTTAATTTTTAAATTCTAATTTCAAGGGTAAAACGGAACTGATTAAACACTGATAAAAACCTACTAATCATTAAAGAAATCATAACACGAGAAAAGAAACAAACTTTAACTTGAGCCAAAAAATAATCAAAGTTTTTCCTCTAAAATTTCAAAATTTTCCCTAAATCAATTGCACCGTTCCCTCGAATTTCGTTAACCCCAATATCCAAACCCATAACTGAATTTCATGGGTAATTTTAACCCGACTTTTCTCCCCGTGCGGTCACCTCTACATAGAACCTCGTCAGAAAATTTGTGTCGCCGTGAGTCACAAGCGACTGAAATAAAATCCTCGTCCACAGACATCTAATTTTCTTTATCTCGAGAAAACAGTAAATTGGCAGATGTAAAAAAAAATTACCTGGGAGGTGTATCCGTAAGCAGTCAGTAACTTTATCACAAAGAGATTAGAATATTCCGAGGCGCTCGAAGTCCCCAAGGAAGTGGAAATGAAAAATTTTGTGAAAAAACAAATTACGAGGGAATACACTCTGTCACATTTCGAGGGGGCGATTCCCACGGGAGAGAATTACCAAAACTTTCCCCCAACATTATTGTAATGGCTTGCCCCGGGGGGTGAGACAGAAATTCATTATTATTTGACCTGTTTGTTTTTCAAGGCTCTAATTGAAAATTCGCGATGACTCACGTGTTCTGAGATGATAAAATCGGCGAGGAAAAGGGGAAAGGCCAGTGCGACGAGGCACGTCCGGGAGAGAATGAAATGAGTGGTGATACAGTTTGGTGTGAAAAGGGGGGAATATTTAAACGGGTGATATGAACAATCATCTTCAGGTGCCGGAGCTACGGCTACCGGCTGGCGAGGGTGGTGGTAAGTCAACGCCACCCCAGCCACTGCTCCTTGTGCCCGCAAGCAGTATTCCCAGGAGACGGCATTCTTGGATATGCGGGTGAGTTTATCGATAAGCCGTTCTTGATCTCCAAGGTGGGTGTGCTCAATTCTGGGGGGGGAGATAATTGGAGGGAAACTGCGAGATTGTTGGGAGATGATTTGGTGGAGAGAAACTCACGCCGAATTCCGGTATTCGGGGACGTAATTGGGGTGAGAAGTGGAGCAGTTTGAAGAAAAATATCAGCTGAATTATTTTTCCAACCGCCTGGATTAATATCAAAATTACTTGGAGAATTTGAGAAACTCTCGTTTACTCAAAAAAATTTTTTTCGAAAGCACGGAGCAGCTAACCATTGCAAAAGAGTGTTCACTACACTGAGAGAAAAACAAACACGTTGTCAAGCAAGTCTTGTTCGGGCCAACAAAATCGCTAATTGAAAATTGCCAAAAAAGAATTTGTTTGCGTCGAATTTGAAAGTCTCAAACATGAATAATTGCTCTGCTTTCGACAGCAACGAATTATGTGGCTCAAGAGGCGGATAACAAAGATTTTTCGCGAGCAAAATACGTATGGGAGTATCGAATAACGAAAGAGTAGTGCTAGAAATGATATTTCTTGTGTGTGCAGAGAATGAAACTTTTTTTGAACTGCTAAATCGATTTTTGCGACAAAAATTTTTCATTCCGGCGAAATTAAAAGTTAAATCATAAAAAAATCCTTTTTTGATAATTTTCAAAAAACTATTTTCTTGGCACATGTAAGACTCATTTGAGAACTTTGATGACATTTCAATTGATGATGGTACTACGACATGAAAAAACAGAAAAAGAGAATAGTGAAATAAGAATTTCAAACAGGAGAAGCCAGTCGGAAACAAATTACTAATTTATTAGCAACAATAACTATACTCATTTTTTTATAAAAAAATTGATAGTCCCCTTGTTTCAGTGACTTCTCCTCAACTTTATTCCCGTCCAATGGTTCCTCTTGTTGTCTTGCTAAAAATAATATTCGAGAATGGATTAGCATAATACATTTTAAAACCTCAAACCAGATGTCTGCGTCGAATGTTCCCGAGGTACCGAAGATTCCCCAAAGCCATTAACGCCCAAAGAATTTCACAGATTGTGATTTTTTGTAACTGAAAAAACTTCGCGAAATCCACGGAGATGAAAAAACTTGAAGGACTCGAGGAAGTTTCTCTCACGATCTCGAAATCAATTAAAAGAACAATGAAACCATTTTACACCGCAACTTATGAAATTACCCGTCAGCTTGAAGATTGAAAAAACAAGTGTGGAAATTTGAAAATTTTCAAGCTTCATAAATCCCTTCAATGGCTCCACCGCTGGCTGCTAATAAAAAAACTTTTTCCGTTTGATTTTTGTTTCAGGTGAGTCATGGAGTCCATTTTCAACTCAATGTATCCCCGGGCACGTGAGTAGCTAGCCTAATACTCACATTATCTCGAAATCAATTCGACGAGTAAAAAAATTCACCATTGGTTGACCATAAACTCAACGCTAGACAAGGAGAGGGATGAGAATGTTTGTTTCCATTTCTTTCCCACGTGTTTATAATTAACATCGTCCATTGAATCATTAAACGCTCCACGCGATGCGAAACATATTGTTCCCATTGAGTACGCACGAAGAGAAAAACGAACGAATTTTCAAAGTAGCACGGAAAAAAATACTTGAATTGAGCATAGTTTATGGCACTTGGCTCCGGGTAAAAAAAAAATTTTTCATCATGCTGTGACGAAAAGTGAACTTTTCGGCACGCTCCGCGGGGGCAGAAAATACAGAATCAACGTTCACTCGGCGGGAAAATGCGATTTTGGCGGAAGTCGACTTTCCCCCCGAAAAAAGTCTAAATATGGCACTTTGGCTGCGGGTGAAAAAAAATTTTTTTTATTTCTGCATTTCTGGGGCAAGTGAGGGTCTCAGTGGCATTAGGCGGGCCAGAAAAAACAGAATCAACGTTCCTGACCCTCGCCAAACCTAGGCTCGCACAGGCTTGTTTCCATCGTCAGCCTATATAATTCCCACCTGGGAAGATCTACCGGGAATTTCAGCCAAAAATTCTCAACAGTATCCAAAAATAAATAAAATGGAGAGGTAAAACACCCGTGACTTCACTCGCTCCCGATTTGTCCAAGCGAATTCCCTCATCATTTCAAAAAGTTTACTCTCTTCTTCGACTGAAACTAGAATGGAACGAGGCGAGATCGTCCTGGCAAAACTTGCAATCACAATCAGTGAACGTTAAATTTCCTGTACAGATGTAATCGTGTAATGGAAAAGCAATTTTGCATCAACGATGAAGAGACCAGCATCCAATCGAGTCGAGCTGAAATCTCGAGAGTAGTGTGTACAAAGTGCATTTTATGTGGCTGAGAGTGAGAGAGAGAGAGAGAGAAAGATGTATTGGCCGACTGCACAGGTGGAGGATTGATTGCATTTACCCGAGTTTTATGCCGTCCTGCTTTATTACCCGGTGTCTCCCTATATCATCGCAGAAAATCGACCTTTATACATTACTCCACACTACAGTACCGAGTGTAATGCGTTTATTTTCAAACGGCGTGCATTAAACATTTCGAGCGTCGGTATAATATTTTGAAGTGGCCTGATATTCCCTGATATTCCTTTCGAATGGAGGCAAAAAAAATTAGATTTCCAATTTTTTGTGTTCGGATAACTAACTGTAGTCTAATCACTCATCCCTTCGTTCAAGCAAATCGCGGAGATTAAGCAATCAATAAATGCATACAATGAATGATTTATATGAATAAAAGTTCCTTCACCCAGCATAACAATTTATTCTCAAAAAAAAAATCTTATCTAACAAATAAAAAATATTGCCTCGAGTATTTAAAGCCTATAATCAATACAAAATCTCTCATGCAGCCTTGCAACATAACAATGTTTTATGGCACCGCGTCATTCACGCTATTTCCAACGTACTTGTCTCGATGAATTTTTTCCCTTCAAACAAAAAAAACGAGAATCAATCAATCTGATTACTTTAATTGATCAATCTCAATGTCTTCGTTAACAACTCAATAAAAAAAAACATGGAGACGAGCATGTCCTTCAACTCTCAGTTGACGTAGGAAAACACTCGGGGATTAGCGAGATCAATCACTAGTCGATTTTTTCATTCGCTCGCTCATTCAAATAATCCAGCTATCATCAGAACCAGTCATGAGAGTCGTTAATTGAGAATATTTTATCGTCTTTAGCTTTAAAATTGCTGCACTGCGAGGAAACTGAACAAGTGTTTAAACACGTTTTGTTTCGACGCGAAAAAAACGCAAGTTTAAAATTTGCTAAAAAGAACTTTTTTTTTATCGTTATTTTACATCGCTTCGATCCGGTGAGGGTATGCTGCGATGATGATCAAGATTTTAAATGGTCAGATCTCACAATTCTCCCCGGCCGGGTTTTGAACTCGGAACCTTTCGCATGTGAGACAACGAATTTACCCACTGCGCCAACTCACCGGACAAAAAAAAAANAAAAAAAAAAAAAAAAAAAAAGTTCCATTCGGATTTGAGGGGCCCTGAACCCTGAACAATCGCTCAGCTTCCAGTACCAACTAAATATTGGGACACAATAGGTGGATCATCACACGAGACGGTGACTTTTGAGGATGAAAATATCTCCTATAGAAGGATGTTTAGCAATAAACATTGTGTCCCTAAAGGCAAGTGTATTCAAGGTTCCTCAAATCCGCATTTGTTAACTCTTAACGAATGAACATTTGGTGAGACCGCACAGACCCCAGCGTTCCCCCAAATCCCTTTGTCAATAACTAATCCTTTTTATCAGTGCAGATTTTCCAGTAATCTCACTACCCTAAAATCACCAGTCAAAACTAACCCAGCAATCTCGCCAGAATCGGCTTAACCCCGTCGCTAGCCATCATCAATAATTCATAATCAATCAACTTTCCCCGCAAATCATGTCGCCAGCCGGAAGCCCTCAAATGCCTCTGACTTGTTGGCAGCCCGCGATAGAGAGAATACCCGAGAGGAATTGTCTCTAAAGGGATCGTTTTCCCCATTCCATTCAGTGGTTATACCGCCGTCACGAAGGTTACTGAATTCAGTGCTATATCATACCAGCACCCTGGCATGACATGAGCTTGGCCGTGGGATTCTCCTCATTCCTCCCTCGCCCTCGCCCTCACCCTCTCCCCCGCTGGCTGAGCAGTTTTGGCCGAAGGTTAGACGCTACTGTGCGGGTTAACCCAGTGGATAGTCTTACCTCCGAATCCCCAGAGCGTACATCCATGATCGCACGCCACGGGACTATTCGTCAGCGACGAATCGTCGAATCGCGTGTTCCTGGGCATTAGCTCGAACCGCTAAAGCTCCGTGAGCTTTTATAGGTCATGTCTCACTCTCCCCCCGGCCCTCCTGGCTTGTTTACAATTTTTCGGATATTGGGAGGTTACGACGATGAATTTCGCAATTACACCCAGACAAATGGTTTTTTTTTGGTCAACTAAAAATTGTTATTTGACATTTTTTACCTACTTGAAGAATATTTTTATTACAAGTGAATAAACTTGTTGACTTGATTCGAGAAAACGGATTTGCTTATATTGAACAAACAATTTATTTATTGCAAATAAATGATTTTTTTATATCAAATAAATAATTCATTTAAGTCAAGTAAACAGTTTTCGTATTTTAATAAAAATAAATTGTAAATATTATATCAAGTTATTCAATTTTGTTTGCCTCAACTTGTGTTCATCTCGCTTAATTAATAAATTCATAGATTTGTTCTTGTGAGTGTAAAATACCAGCCGTGAATCGTTAGCTATTGACTAAAAAATTTCATCCAATCTAGCAAGCATTTCGTTGCAATTAAGGGAGAAATATTTGATTGATTTTCAGAATTTTTTGGTGCACGAAATAACTCATTTATTCAATGAAAATAAATCCTCAACTTCAATCCAGAAAATATTCGTGAAATTCTACAGAGTTGGAATTTTACGTTTATATCTAGATAAGTCTCGAGTTATGGCGCGTACAAGTAATT